GGTTCTGGATTTTGAACTCAGGCCCTAAGTTGTGCTCATTATGTGATCTCAATTAATTGGCTTCATCTGTGTCTCAGTTTCCTTATCTGTGAAATGAAGACAATAATGGTATCTATTTCACTGGACAGCTGTGAGGATCAAATGAGATATTTCATGTGGAGCTCAGAATATGACCTTTGGAGCATAGTGAATGCTTGATAAATGCTGAAGCTGGGACTGTGACGACTTAAACTTCCAGTCTCTAGTTTGGTTTCCTGATCTCCAGAGCACTTCCCCAAGAATTTCTCTCTCACTGCTTTGCTCCTCCAAAGTCCAAATTTAAATCCTATTTCACCATTCCAAATCCTTCTCCTGTCCCTAACTTGCTCTGCCCTATCAAGCTCACATTCTTGTGCTACGTCTCCTTTCTCAATACTTATAAAGCAGATGTTATACCCATAAAAATCGCTAAAATGAAAAAAAAGATGAAAAATACTAAAAAATGGCTGAAGATGTAGTGCATCCAGACTCAAGAGTGCTGGCAGAAGAGCACATTAATTCCACTACTTTGGAAAACTTTCTGGCAATAAGACTGAACACATACTGTCCTTTAATCCAGGAATTTCACACAAAGGTCTACCCTCAACAGAAACATGCACATACATACATCAAAAATCATGTAGAAGAATTTCTTCATAGCACAATATTAGCTACCTACTGCTGCAGAACATATTACCCCCAAACGTAGCAACTCAAAACAACAGACCTTTATTATCTCACAGTTTCTGTGGCTGAGGAATTTGGGAATAACGTAGCTGGGTTCAGGGCCAAGGTACCTGTTAGGTACAGCAGGCACCAGACCTAGGACCCACGATGCTTGTTAATACAATTTCCTCCTTCCAGTCAGTGAGATACTTCCTTTTTGTTGTAACGGAGGAAGGGGCACACAAAGACAAAAGTGCGTAGGTCCCATAAAGTCACAGTGTAGCCCTGGCTGGGTGGGTCTCTCATGAGGTCTGTCAAGCTGTCATCCGGGAACACAGTCCTTGGAAGATTCCTCTGGGAAAATACCCATCTCCACGCTCACTCAGGTAGTGGCTGGCAGTTTTTAGTTCTTCTCTAGTTGTTGGCTGGAGGCCTCAGTTTATCACCACATGGGCCCATCCATGGCTGCCTGGGTGTCCTCAGAACATGGTAGATAGCTTCGCTCAGGGAAAGAGGGAGAGAGGGAGAGTGGCAGCAATCAAAAGAGAGAAAAACCAAGATGCCAAGGTATCTTTCATAATCTAGTCTTGGTAGTCAACTTCTATCCCTTCTGCCATATTCTGTTGTTTACACAAACCAACTCTGGGACAGCGTGGGAGGAGACCACAGAATCGTGTGAATACCAGGAGTCCAGGATCGTGTGGTGCCCTGTTAGAGGCTGGCCTATCTTGAGTCGTTAAAAAACAGAAACTATCCAAATGTTTATCAACAGTAGAAATAATAAATAAATGATACTGTATTTCTACAACGGAATTCTACACCGCAATAAGAACGAACCATTTATAACTACATACAACAATATAGATTGTAGCTCATAAACATAATGTTGCAAGAAGAAGCCAGGAACAAATAGTATACTTGATATGATTCCACTGATGCAAAGTTAAAAACCAGGCAACACAACTCTGGGTGTTAAAGGCCAGATAGTGGTTTCACCTGGAGAGATACTGATGGAAAGTAGATACAAAGGGAGCTTTTGGGTGCTGGCAATACTCAGTATCTTTGTCTGGATGTTAATTCCACAAGTTGATGAAAATTCATTGAGCTGTATAACTTTCTCTGTGTAAATTATACTTTAACAAGAGTTTTTCAAAAGTAGGTGTTGTAATACCTGTATTGTCTCCTTTTGCTAAAGAGACATTCTGGAAATGATTTTGGTTATGGCTAAGCATAAAACTGGGTGCTGTAGGCCGGGCGTTATGGCTGACACCTGTAATCCCAGCACTTTGGCAGGCGGAGGAGGTGGATCATGAGGTCAGGAGTTGGGGACCAGCCTAACCAATATGGTGAAACCCTGTCTCTACTAAAACACACACAAAAAAATTAGCTAGGCGTGGTGGCGGGCACCTGTAATCCCAGCTACTCAGGAGGCTGAGGCAGAAGAATCACTTGAACCCAGAAGGCGGAGGTTGCAGTGAGCTGAGATTGCACCGTTGCACTCCAGCCTGGGCAATAGAGTGAGACTCCATCTCAAAAAAGAAAACAAACAAAAAAACAAAAAACAATTAGGTGCTATAGACTGAAGATCTGTTCCCTTCCATCCTCCAATTTATATGTTGAAAACTAATCTTCAATGTGGTATTTGGAGGTGGGGCTTTTGGGAGTTGATTCGGTTATGAAGGTGAAATTCTCTTGAATGGCATTACCACACTTGTAAAACAGGCCACAGAGAACTCCTTTGCCCTTTCTACCATCCGAGAGCACAGCAAGAAGGCTTCACTTATGAACCAGAGAGTGGGCCTTCCCCAGACATAGAACATACTGGCACCTTGATATTGGACTTCGCAACCTTCAGAACTGTGAGAGAGAAACATTTCCGCTGTTTATAAGTCACCCAGTCTGTGGTACTTTTGTTATAGCAGCCCAAAGGTTTAAGACACTGAGGCAACTACAATGTGTGGTCAATGTATTGGTCCTGGTGCTAGGGCTTGCCTGCTATGAGATCTTAGCTGAACAGTCGCTTAACCTCTCTGAACTATAGTTTCCTCAATTGTAAAGTGCAGTGGACACGTACGCTCCTAGCCTCAGAGTGTGGTGAAGAGTATCAGGTACAGTTGAGTCCTGTTACACTATCAAGCACTTTAATATCAAGATCTTCCAAGTTCAAAACCATAAGACTTCCCTGGAGACCAGGATATCTGTCGTCTATTTAACATCTCTCTCTGTCTCTCTCCTGTATTCCTCTCTTTCTCGTTAGGGATGGTGGGGGTGGAAAGTAGGTTTGAGGGTTTGTGATATGTCTCTTTGGGGTTCATCCTCTGGCCTCAAACTTCTTTGCTATCACATGATCTCTTTGTGCAGTTTCTCTAGGCGAAATTCCCTAGATTAACCAAGGTAGTAAGGTGGGGAGAGCAGAGCCACCACGCAGCTGTAGTTCTCACCTGGGCCAGAGACCAGCTGCACAGAAAAAGGCTAAAAGTTGTTTCTGTGCACTCTGGGATCTGTGGGTTTAGGGGGAATTCCACTAGGTGATAACAGCTGGTTTCTGATATTCTAGGGAGGAGTCAGAATATCTTTTTAATACATTTATGCATGCATTTTATGTGCATTCATTTAACATCTGCATAAATTTGTATATAATACAACCATTTGTAAAGATAGACCTTACCTAATAAAGACATGTTATGATATAATTGTGATAATCTGCAATCTCAATTTGGGTTTATTCACTTCGTGGGAGTTGGGATTCACAGTGTGTAGAACTATCTCTGTGTCTTACACTGTAATAGTATATACCTTTTAATGTGACTAGAAGCTCCCTAAACGGAGCAAGTCTTTCCTGTACTAACAGAATCCCTAGATAGCCACTGTGAAGTGACTTAGGGAAGTGTGTAAGGGTGGGATAAATGGGGAATCTCCACCAACTCCTCACATCTAGGAGAGATCTGATCCCATTTTGGTCATTACAATTTAGGTCTTTCCATAGAGCTGTTTCTTTTGGGACTCAAATAGCAGCATGGGGCCCCCTGGTGGCCGGAAATCATGAGTTTGCTTTTCAAGCGTTTTGAAGGCCAGGTCAGGCTAGAGAAGTATAGAGAGTAAATATTCACCTCCAACTGCTGCTTACGATAGAGGCATAATAGAGAGTGAGATGGCCTCTTTGGGGGAAAAATGAGAACTAAACCTTTTTCTTTAATGAGTTTAGGATGGACTATAATTCTGGATAAACCATTCACTTTGTGATTTTTTATTCTTTGGCTCATTTAGCACCTTAATTAGGTACTTATTGAATACTTAATCTGCTTAAACCATTATGTTAGGTATTACACTAGGGGTAAAAAGAGGATCTATCACACACTTCTAAGGAGCTTTGGAATAAGGATAACACTTAGGCCACGAACACGACAGAAAATAAAAGGTGCCATCAGAGAATAAAAGATGAACTCACAAAAGAGCATTTACATTCAGATAAAAGGGAAGGCTTCCGGGAAGACGTAGCATTTGAGCTGAGTGCTGATGAGAAGCAGGATTTGGGCAGATTAAAATCAAGGAAACAATGCATTATAAGCTAGGAAAAACACAAGTTTGGACAGACATAGAGCAGGAAAACCAGAGTCGGGTGCAAGAATGGTGAATAGTCTATTCTGGCTAACTCATAAGGAGGTTTGGGGGTTAGAATGAGCATGAAAACTGGATACATCCTTTTGGATCAGACTAGAGAATCTTGAACCTTGTCTGAGTAATTTATTCATACAGCAATGTGGCGGCGGAGGGGTGGGGATGGGCTTTGAATATCTTTGCACAGAGAAGAGGTATGTGAAGGCACAGAGTCACTTGCATTGAAATGAGCACAGCCCCCTAAACTTGCATTTGGTTGGGAGGAATGTTGATCTGTATGTGACACCATCTGACCTGCAAAGTCATTATTAGGGTGTTTCCACTTACAAAAACTACCTGTGCAAGAGGGAGTAGTAAGGGCTCAAGGGCTCCTGCCATGTTTAATTAAATTCCTGGATAGAAAGACTTTCAATGACTGTGCTATGCTAGGCTGATTTTGTTTTCCAAGTTTTAAGAAACCTTCATGCCTTTCTATTCTAGTTTAAGATGGTTTAAACTAAATGAATGGGCTGTATTTCTGGCTGGAGTTATAGGATAGAGTCCTAGCTGTGGACTAGCTCAATGTCCACTGAAGAATTCAAGCAGTAACTTTATTTGCATTGTATTAGATCTAACTGAGTAAGAAGCCTGAGAATCTACATTATGCCTGGCATATAGTTGGTGCTTGTGTATGTGTTAAGCAAATAATTAACAACTGATTCCACAAAAATGTAATATACATTTAATAGCACATTATAAAGTTCCTGACCAAAGACATTGATTTCCTAATTATAATAGCACAGAACTCCTTTAGAATTTAGTAAACGTAATTAAGACTATTCAGAAGTAATGAAAAACCAATATGATAAAAACAAAAAACCTCCAGTAAAGAAGAAGGAACCTGTCCATTTGAGAGAAATATAATTGAGAACTTGCAAATGAGACAAGGGAATATAGCAATTTGGAACTGCAATAGAAATAACTACAACAGAAACAACCATTTAAGAAGTTTTAGCAGCAATAAGTATTTATTATTCTGAATGAAATGTATACTTGATTTTTATATAAAAATCATCAAAAGTGCTATATTGGATTATTTTACTGTTAATTTAGCCCCCAACAGCATCTATTAGCTAGACCTTTAATGGGTTTTTCTTTACTTCTGACACATCATTACAACTGGCTAAAACTGTCCAGTGTTAAAATATAAAAAATATTAGTTTACTCTTCAAGATAAAGTACCACCAGTGATGAGTTATTAAAAGTGAAAAATAAAAACAGATGCCAGTGAATCAATGTATTGCAAAAAATTATCACAGAATTTCATAGATACATGCGAAGCCCAAGGTAATTTAGATCCTTGGCAGAACATTTTTATGGTACATCTTAAGACTGTGGGTTATTTCTTTTGGAGGCAAATGTCTAGTGTGCCAGGCCTATCTTGTTATTTTCTCATCTTTTCTTGGCTACTTTACAGGGTGAACCAAACGCTGTCTAATGCCGTGCACTCCCATGACCCCCAAAATGTTTAATGTAAATAGAAAGCTGATTTTGCAGTCTCAGAAATAGCCCTTAGGATTAAGTTTGTCGTTAAAGAAGACATGAGTCATTCCTCACAAAGGAGAAGCCCCTCCACCCTCCCACCCCTATTCTTCCAGTCTGCTCCAATGCCAAATCTGTTCTCTCCCACCATGGTTCTGGGTGAATTGGGTGACAAAGTCAGAGCAGGTTTTCCAGGCCCAATAGCCCATTTGGTCTTATTCAGTCTCAAGCAAACAAGCTTCTCTGATTTGCCACGAGAGCTGTCTGACTCTCCCGTCTCTTGGCTTTCTTGCTCCTTTGTCTCACTTTCCAGCACAAGGCGCTGGAGGCTAGTAAAAAAAGTCCAGATGACAGAACAACCAGGCCAAAGATGGAGATGACGGAGCCATGGGAATTGAAGCTGTAAGCCACCGCGGTGACCACGATGCCAGCGATGAAGACAACCACAGCGAAGGGGATGATGCAGCGGTAGCAGGAGAGCTCGGTACCCCCTGTAGCAGCCATCAACTGAATCTCACTGACCAGGGGGACTGTGGTGACCACGACTTCACTCTTGGGGCTCTTCTCCATCGTCGCCGCCATGTGAGCCTTTGGGGCTCCCAGGATCTCCTTGGTGGGCTCTTCAGTCATTTTTACAACAGTGCTTCTAAGCTGGGTTTGCAGACTAGATCTGGACAGTCTCACCAGGGTGAAAGCTGTGAAGATAACAGGAGATGTCAGCTACATGTATCAGAATGAACCCTGCAAGCAGAAATAAAAAGCTGGGGAGGCACCTCTTTTCCAGGAGGCATAGATCCATGTGAAAAGCAACTTTACTCTTTTTTTGAATTGGTTGCATTTTCTTTGCATTTAGGCAAAAAATAAGATGAAGCAGATGCACGTGAAGGGAAGACAGAAAAAGCAGGAAGCACTTACAGTGTTTAATATACCCTGGCGGTCTACAAATGTTTTACAAGCTTTCCTCCTTTGTCTATTGCTTCTCCTTCTTCTAAACACACAGAAATGCCTGAATTCTAATCCAAAAATGGTTTCATTCAAGAGGAGAATACATTACAAACAATATTTCACACCGTTAATCCCAGAACTTACAGCAACTCAGACTCCACCAATCTTGCTGGGCATAACATGCGTTCTTTCCAAACTGTCACCTATTCGCTGCCCACAAAATCAATGTCAAGGCAAGTGGCCAGCAATAAATGATGTTCTTCTCCATTGAATGACAGTCAAAAAATCTTTATTGTGTTACTATTAAACACAGTGCAACCTGCTCCCTGGGATCTTTTTATTAACCATTTTAGGTGCACAGTTCAGCAAAAAATTCATTGACAATGAGGTGGGGATTTGTGATCTGAAATGTAACACTATCTTCCAATCTGCTATGACAGAGAAAAAATAAGAAAAAAAATTCAACCCCTTCATAGGATATAATTTTGTGCTTTCTCCTGGCAAAAATAAAATCAATTATTAGAGTAATTAGTTATCAATACACAAATTTTCTATTAAGCTCAACACAAAATTTTGATATTATGTATACTACAACATGCGGAAACAAATAAGCATGCTAGGTTTTCAGGAAATCTCATTTTCCTCCATGCCCTTGTGTATAAAACTTGCTGCAATGACGCTTTCTAAGTATTTTGAACCTGAACATTTCAGGACAAAGCTTGAGACTTTTGATCAAAAGCATCTGGTTGAAATGCTCTCTATGAGAAATCAGTGAAAACGTGTCTGCTGCCCAGACATGGTTGAGTCACTGTCTTCCATTCTCAAAAAGCCGTCTAGCTGCTACACAGTTGAGCAGTTGTAGTTACTGAACAAGTTTAAAGAAAGATACTTGAGACTGTTTCAATGAGATTAATATTTTGAATATATTAAGCATCCACTGAAAATAAATTCAACTCCAGATCAAACATCACTGGTTCTTCCCTGCTCTGGAAAGTCAAAATATCACTCCCTGAGCAAGGAACTCAATCTTAGAGCTGCCTACTCACATGTCATTTTTAATCACCAAACTAATTAATCACTGTTGTCCAACGACACCCTGACTTCTGGTGAGGCCAGTTAAAAGATACTTGAGATTATGTCCGAAAAAGATATCTTCGCCCCAAAGCTGAGATTGAGCTAATCTAAAAATCAAGATCTGTCCCCAAATTACTTACACTCACCTCCGAGAGGCAGTCCATTACCAGAGTAACCACTTGACTTGGAAGGGAAGAAACAGCAACGCTTGAGTCTCTTCGTCCAACTTCTGGGAAAGAGCCTCTAACAGCAAGGCTGTCAATAAAATAATTAGGGATCTCTTCTGGGGAAAAGAAAAGATGTAAAAATACTTTACTATAAGGTCTGGTCTGGTTTGGAATCCTGGAGTTCCTGCTGCTTTCAGGCTACCTCTGTTCCTAAATGACGCTTGTCTTTCCCTCCCTCTCTCTTTTTATTCCCTCCCCCTCCAGTTTGCCCCTCCCTAACATTTTTTTTTTTTTTCCTTCGTTCTTTTCCTTGCCAGCAGATTCTGAGTTTTGGCTTCCCCCAACTTTGCTCAGTGACATGATAAGTCCGAATCATTTCTACAGATACCCCAGAGACAGGAGCCAGCTTTTACTTTTCTTTCTCTTGCAGCATTTACTAAGCGGACTGCTTTGTGAATTTGAATGACTCACTTTTTCCCCTGCCGACCTCCAGATCTTCCTCCCGTCCATCAGGCATTTTTATAAGAAAATCCCAGAGTCAGCGTTGCAGACCCGGCTGAGGGGACAGAGCTGAGGGGACAGACACTCTAGGGCGGCAGAAACAGCTGTGAAGTCATGGGGCAGCTGAATTCAGTCTCTAAGCCAGCAAAAATCCATGTTCCTAGGTTTTCCCATTATTCTTTATTTATATGTGCGTGATAGTCATCTGAAGCTTAAAACCCCACTTGTTCAGTGTTAATTCATTTAGGAATGAGGGTGGGAGGCACAAATGTTTGCGGTTAAGGGGGGAAGGCAGTCACATTGATTTAAACATGATTGTTTACTGCTCTTGCAAGGAGGTAACTTTAGCAGCGCCAAGATTATCATCATCATGATAATTGCTACCATTTATAGAGCACCTACTCTGGACATGGCACAATATTAAGAAATGTCACACATTAACATTAATTCTCACTAGTTCATAAATGAGGAAACAGGCTCAGAGAGGTTAAGGAATTTAACGAAGATCACCCAGTAACAGAGAAACCCTTGGTTTGAGCCCTAATCTTTAATAGATACATATATCATCTGGGGAGATTGTTAAACTTAGATTCTGATTCAGTAAGTCTGTAACAAGCTCCTACCTATGTCAAGACCTCTGTTCCTTGGCCCAGTTTAAGGAACAAGGTATTTTAAACATTCAAACATATACAGCTTGACACATCATACGCTCAAACAATAAAGTTAAACATCTATTTCCCACCCCCATAAACCTGTAAGTGGCTTTATAGGTTTATCGTTTCTTACAGACAAACTGTGAACATTTTAAAACCTTGAAATACATAAAGCCCAAGATTGTCTTTTTGAGGAGAAAATACCGGGACCTCATCCTACACTTTGTAGTTAAAAGTTTTTCATCCTCCATTTTCTTCATCTGCACATGTGTTAATAACCCCTTCTAATTAATACTGTGAACCATAAATCCAAATTAACTCTTGGAAGAGATTTGTTTTCTGTCTTTCTGTCAAATTGTTATGTTTCTCTAATTGCTGGCAAAGGGCTTGGATGTTCTCAACATCTTACCTCTCCTTTACCACAGCACGGTCTCTCCAGCCTTGCGTTGTAGCAATACCCTGATGACTTGTCACAAAAAGAGAGGGACCGGAAGTTATTTATTCTAGAATGAAAGCCAAACAGAGGGTTATGTCATTATAAAAAATAAAGTTGAAAAGTCCCTGAGGTTTGGGGGAATCATGGCAAGTACCCGGAGGACCTTGGTCGCCATGATCCTCACACTTCAAAAATGTCAGACCTAAAGAGACAGCCTTCGTCCCTGAGGAGTGCTGTCACTTGGTGTTGAGGGTCAGGAATACTTAGAACCAGGGCATTTCAGAACTTGCCAAAGTTGCCCCTGGAAGATGGTGAGGGGGCCGCTCGCTACGTCCAATGGAGGTTCTTGAGAAGCTCCTTAACAGAGCTGTCTTCTCACCTGGAAACTCTGGCCCTTGAGGGCAATTCCCCTCTATTTTCTAGTACCACTTCACCTGCAAGATAGCCCAATAACCGCACCGAAGCTCTGAATATCACCTTATTCTGTTGAAAACATGCTTTCCTGTTACCAAAGCGAAAGGTGCAAAAACTGAACTTCTAGAGAGAGGACAATGGCACCTTTTTTCATGGTAAGCCCTTGACTGAGTCTACAGTGAGGCACAGTGAGTGTGTCTGTGCCCTGGGAGCATGGGCGAAGCTATCATCACTTCCAATACCAAAGCTTTCTTCAACCTTGTCAGGCTCAGGTGCCTCATTCACACCAATGCTCCTTCGCACGGTGTGTGCACCTGCCTTGATACACAGTTACCCATCTCTAGACTCTGAGTAGACAACTGATGATTTGTACATTAAATTCAAAGAGGTAGAAAGGTTTGGTAGAAAGCAGAAATTGTATCAGAAGAATAGATGCCTGTCATCCTAACCACTGACACACGCTTTAACCGACTTTACCTCTTCAAATTGAAATTCAAAGAGAATTCCTAGTGATCTATGCCTGTTGCCTCTGAATGTTTATTCCTCCTTGCACTCTGTGTCTATAAGGTATGAAACACCCCTGGGCATCCTTCAGGGACACCTGCCCCCAAATGCAAAATTTCATCCACAATGTGACCAGCCTTATTTCTGCAAGCCCTCTATTTTCACAAGGAAGAGGAAATCTCTCTAGCTCTTTCTAAAGCACATGGCTTTAGGAGACTCCTTTAAGTTTGGAGAACTTTTCTCAAAGCCTCCAATGCATGAATTGTATCTATGCCCCTAACCTCCATAGGCATTCAACATTTCCTTCCCAGATCTTTCAAAGAGCAAAGCAAAGATCCTTACCTTTCCCAGCTAGAGTTAGACTGAGACAGCTGCCTGCCCCGCCAAGAGCAACCGAGAGAAGGGGATGCAAATCGCCACACTAGGGACCGTAAACAAAGTACTCAGCAAGGTTTAAACACAATTAAGGGATCGGAGACAATTTGGTGAGAGGAAATCCCTTAAATGCTGCTGGATTTTACTCTGTTTTCCTCCATGAAAATGTAATCCGTGTGTGTGTGTGTGTGTGTGTGTGTATGTGTATGTGTGTGTATTATATATATGCACATAGAGAGAGCGAGAAAGGGCATCAAGTTTGAAAAGAATATCTTCCTTCACTTCTCTCTTTTTATATCTTTATTCAGGCACCAATTTGCAAGATTTTTTCTATCCAAAGCCCTCATTCTGATGCTCTCCCTCTGTGAATCAGACCTGCATAAAAGAATTTGTAATATTTGCTCTATATTTCTAAGGGAGTATGGGGTTGGAAAGTGTGTATGTAGGGGAATAGGACCATAAACTATTCTCTTTCACCATGACATGCAGGTAATAAAAGGAGTACAAGGAAGATAAAGATCAGTGGTGAAAATTGCATTTGGTGCCTGAGTGGACCCTCTCCATAACATCAGCGGGGTGGTCCTATTGGTGTTCTTCATCAGAGGATGTCAAGGCACCATAGAAATTATGTGATACTGAAAAATCACACCTCTGAGGTGACCTTCCACCAAAGGCATTGTAAATGGCAGAGCTGGGAACATTTGCTATTCCAGACAGAATGCCCCCAAATTGGGAAAATCTCATTTTTTTTTTTTTTTAAAGAAACAAAATGAGAGACAAAGTTTCTTAAGGGAGAGGGGCCTGGAAGTGGAGGAGGGCAGGGAGCATGGTGGCTACTATGACAAAGAGGTCATTTTGCCCATTTCCCTAAAGTGGAAGCCAAAGATGCAGGCTCTAAGGTTGCAAAAGGGGATGTTTTGATTTTCCCATTGAGTTTATGCTGTTGAAGATCTGGAAATTTCTCCTTTGGGAACACATAAAGTTTGCATTTTGTGAAGCATGCCCCCACGTGCATTTGATTACTCGCCTGTCTTTATTTCCAATTTGCTTTTGCTTGGTGTGTTTGAGCTGGCTAATTTCCAGCAGCCTTGAGGATGCCAGTTCCTCTTGGCCCTCTGTCCAATCACCACATGCCTTTGATCTCAGTCATCACCCAGTCCAATTGGATGCAGGGAGATTCGGGAAGCTGGCCAGGTTTTCTCCTCTCTAATGCTTCTTTTAAGGGTGTGCCTGCATTTATGTTCTGAAATCATGGACATTTTGGAAAGTGATCTGTGCTTCTGTGTTCATTTTGGATAGCAGATATCATGTTATTATTCCCCTTTTCCTTTTTTTCTCCTCCAAAGCACTTTTCTTTGAGGTCTAGGACATTAAATAGAGAGATCTAATAGTACCAAAAGGAACAATGAATGTGCCTTAGATAGAAATATATATTTCACTAATTGGTGGTCAATTTCTAGGTATGGGAATCTCATAAGATCCATGTGAATATAGAAAGGGAAGCATCCATCTTGTAGATGCATATTATAATCTCCATTCTCTTACCCCATTTTGTTCTGACTAACTACGAAAGATCATATAAACATAAAAAATAGAGCTGAGTAAATAATCTCTCACTTCAACAAGAACTAATTGCCATTCTGGCCTCAGATGAGAAGAATTAATTTTCTTGTCTCAAAATCAGAATGTACACTGAAACTCCTGTCATCCTGATACAACCCCGTACATTTTGCATAACATTTTATATTTATGTACGTTATTCCTTAGAGGCCAAAGATGAGGAAGCCCAAAGTTCGACAGTTACCTCAAATTGGGCTGACACTTTCTTTCCTAAGACAAATGCACACTCCTAGGATCACCCTCCCTTAGTGAGTGAGCTCTGGGTCACATATGCTTGGGGCTTGCAGGAAACAGACCATACTGGTTTTTTTTTTTTGTTTTTTTTTTCAGGGAGGAGAAGGGAAGGGACCACAATGACCTCACCCCTTTGCCACTCCTTCCTATACCTGATAGCATGGAGCCCTTTGATGCCTGTTTACAGGAGAAATCTCCCCCTAGGCTCTGGTGACCAATATCACTTGTCCTGGTCATAAAATGATGTACATAAACATTGTGTGACACCCAATCGACTCCTAATCAGTGTACAATTTCTAGGCTTCAACACCAATCCGGTACTGGAAATTGGAAATCACCCTGTAACATGTACAGTGTCCTAAAAACTGATAATCCATGGTATCTCTGTAAGGATCAGTGAGCTTTTCTCCATTCCATAGTCACAGAGCAGAATATGCCTTCCGACCGGATTAGCCACCTCCAAGTTAGGTAGCACTGGCCTTAAAATGACTGGCTCAGGATGGGCTCCTCAGTGCTGGCCTCCTCCAAATAATTGAAAGTACAGTTTAAACCATAGGTTTTAAGTTGTAGGCTTGGTAAGAGGAGCATGGAGGATATTTTTCACAAATAACTTTTTAATTCTCTATTTTGCCGAGAAAGAAATGGAGAAAAGAAAAAAGAAAAATGAAATGGAGGTTCAGAGACTAGCACTGTTTCTGGGTTTAACTCCAGAAGCTGGCCTCCTGCCTTCTGAACTGACCCACACAATACGCTCAGTTTGAAGAGGAAAGGGACACATTAACACAAGCATCTAACATGCACTACCCATAACACAGTCATCTCTCAGCTATTTGTATTTTATTTATAGAGAAAGTGGCAGAGCCAGGTTTCATATCTAGGTACCTCTTTCTTCTTCTATGTTGTGTTGTGAGGAATTCATTTTTAAAATTAGAGTATATACATTTTCCTAAGTTTAGCTTAAGTCTCATTTTCTTAGGTTCAGGGTGATGTACTGTCACTAGATTTAGTTTGGGAAAAGTGCTCTGAAAAGGGTTACTTATTGCTTCTAGAATGATTAAGCCATGTATTTTGCCTTGTACCCATGTGGGCATTAAAATAGAGCTGCATTAAGCAGATTTGGGTAGGTTTGAGGCCGGGACAGACATAGGCCTGGTACCTACAGAATCCGTGGAAGATGTCGTAGTAGTCGGGCCACTTCAAAAGTCACCTAGGCCTTTCCTCTGCCTTCAGGAACATTTTATTTCCTGTGCTCCTTTGGGTGCCAGGAACTTGCTAAATGCTCTAGCTGAGCAGATGCAAAACAGTGGGCAAAGCATGGTCTCTGTTTTCATGGAGTTTACCATCCAGAACAGGAAAGTCGTAGGGACACCAATGTGGGTAATCCTTTTCTAAAAGGAATAACAAACGGCTGTGGGAGGCCCAGGGAAGATGAAATCAATTCAGGCCTAGGGGTGTGTGTGTAGTGGGTGGGGTGTGGTGGTGGTTGTAATCTTCATGACACACAGGCATTTGACATCATAAATAGAAAAGGAAAGAACATGATTCTAGGTGGAAGAAACAGCCTGTATTCAAGCATAGCTTTGAAAAGTACAAGTCTTCTACAAAGAGTAGCTTGTTTGGCAGAATTTTGAAGAGCACAGGGCAGGCAGAGAGCCATCAAAATAAGACCGGAAATGGTTTATGGTCAGATTATCGCCTCAGTGGCGAGTTTGGACTTTATTTTGAGAGCAGTGTGGTTTTGAACAGGATTGCACAGTCAGCTCTGCGCATTATAAACAGTAGACTGATTGTAGAGTGTTGGGATGTCCTAGGAAAAGTCAATGTGGGGAAGAGGGAAAGCATGTTGAGATACCAGTTGGGATGCCTCTGTGATTGTCCAGGTAAGAGGCAATGGGCACCTGATATTGGGAAATGTGGACAGGTAGGAAATCACTGCAATGGTAGAATCAGCAAAACTCAGCAATGAATTTCAAGTGGGGAAAGTTATCGAGAGAGAAGTTGTAAGGTTTTAAAGCCTAAGTAATTAATAGCTTGAGGTTGCTGTGAGCAGAAATAGGTCAGGACAAGGGGTAGATGTGGGGTGAGGAATACGTGATGATTTTGTTAGTATAGCTATTCACTTCTCCGGTGGAGAGGCAAATGCTGGAGAAGTTTGGCATTACTGCCTAACTAGTAAGTTATGATGCATTGTCTGAATTGTCAAAAAATTCTGTCATAGGCTCACAAATAAAATTTCCAGTAAAATTATGAATAATTTTATAATTCATTTCATTCCACATGCATATGCATGCACACAATTGCTGACACACATACAATATATATGCACAGGATGTGAGATTGCTAATGTTTTGCATAGAATACAAAAAATTTAAGAATTCCAATTTGAGACTTTATTTTTACTGACCATATGCAAAGAATGTATTGATTATATGTTCAATTTTAAATTCCTTGAAAATAAGAACATAATTATACAATTCTTTTTTACAGTGTTAGACATTATTTTAAAATAAGCACTACATAGATATTTTCTGGTAATGAAAATATTTTCTCCAGTGGCCACCACTCTAAGGTACTACTCATGAAGAAGGAATATATAGAAGGTTCTCGTCTTGCCACTTCACATATGGAGAAACGCTTTTGCCTTACTAAGAACTAATTTTATGTTGCCCCCGTGAGTGAATGCTTTAAAAAAAATAGCAATCCAAATCCACTACAGATTTATTTTGAAATGTCCTGTTTTGGGCCTCATGCAATGGAAGCAAGCCTTTATGTTGAGGGGCTTACCATGATCATGTTGGTTGGGAAATCATCTGTCAGTTCCTCAAGGATATTATCATCAATTTTGCATACTTAGAAAGTCATTGCCAAATAAGTCAATGAATAAATAAAAGAATGACTCTACATTGAAGTCGGATGTAAATTTAAAACTTAGATAATTATTTAAATGGGTTATTTTAAGGTACCCAGATATTTAGTGCTAAGTACATTAATTATTCCTTATCATTATAGTGAAAAATATTCATTTATAAATGAATAGTAATTATAATAATTATTCAATTACATTTGGAAAATGGTGCCTAGGACTAGAACCAAAGTCTGATTGATGCCAAAGCATGTCTTCCTAATCCCTGTGGAATACTGTTTCTGTGTTCAAATGATGGCATGCTTTCTGTAGCTCATAAGGAGTAAACTTGCCTTCAAATAATCTCTTGGATTTTAAGATGATTGCTTCACCAGAGAAAAAACATGCCATCCTCTTCCCACAGAACCTCTGTAGTGGTATATTAATTGAGGGTAGAACTAGTTCAACAAACCTTTTGGGAGCATTTTTATCCTCTTAAAAAGTCTTTGATATTCATGATGTGTGTGGGTAGTAGGAAACAGAACAATTTGCCCAACTGAACTGAGTTCAAAATAGAACTGTTTATCTTATGAACTTATCTTATGGAACAATGCAGAGAACAGATCTCTTGCTCTCTTTCTTTAGATAAAAATTTTAAAGTCTCGTTTTGTAAAGGAGACAGAACTTTGCTGTCTCCTTCTTGTTTACTTAAATAAACTATACAGGAAACAGGCATTATTGTCTTTGAAAAAGCAATGTAAAAACTTGGTAAAACCAATGATCCCCAGAGAGTACACAGCCACAGAATGAGAACACGATGTTTCTTCCATCAGGGCACACACAGGGGCACCGAGTCTACTTTAAATTCCAACTGTACATTTGTACCCAGTTAGTGAATCTGCCGTTGATAACTTTGGATGACTTCCAGTATGATGGACTCAGTCGTCTCAGGGAAACCTTGCTTTGCTTCCCTGATTTATTTCTTGCTATTTATTTTCTAAGTTAAACTTAGTTTGCAAAACTTTCTTTACAGCACTGATAGGGCTGGATTACCTTTTTTTTTTTTTTTTACAGCGCTGATAAGGCTTGATCATCTTTTTTCTAGAATCTAGGTTATAGCATAAGGTTTTGGATCGCTTCCACAATAAAATGAACATTTCTGACTCTCCAATATTGTTGTGCAATTAAAATAGCCATTAGCTGAAAGTCAGGAAACTTGAGTTTGATTCTTCTTTCCTCTTCGTGGCTTGGGCAAGTCACCCAACTTCTGAGTGCCCTATTGTCAGATCTCAGGATTCCATCTGTAGATACTTTATTAGTCTTTTCTTTAAAAAAAATCCTATCTGGGCTCAGAATATCAGAGAACTGAGACAAGACAACTTGGGGAAATAGCTAACACTACTACCCAAGCTACCAGAACAGCTGTAGGAAGCCTCTTTTTTAAAAAAATATTCCCTGATGCAACATCTGTCAGCAAAGCCACTGACCTTTTACTGTGGATGTTCATCTATTTCCATGTGAAGAGAGTCACAGGCTTCTGGCTCAGAGACTGACTGCAGCACGAAGGTTTTCTTCAGCCCTAATCAGAAATTTTGGTTTTCAGGGTTTGCACACTAATTTTCACTCTTTCTTACCCAAAGCCAATGCAGTAAGGAGCATGCGGTGTCCAATACCATAATAAACCATAAACTGCGTTTGAAAGGAAAGCAGCAGGGGCCAGAACTCACACTTGTGGAGCCTCACCCTGCTGTGACTGACATGACGTAAGTCAGAGACCTCGGTTCACAGTTTTATGTGACAGGACACAGGAGCAGCCAACTTTAGGGAAGACTGATAGGAAAGCCCAAGGGTGAATCTCTCTGGGAACAGGAAGCAGGTACCGCTGGACCAACAAGGCTGTTGGACACAGGACTTTGACTGGTTTTGTAGAAGCAACTGGGCTGCCCTGAGGCTGCCAAGAGGGTGTGCTCTGATCACATGGAGTGTGCATTTCCTTAGAGCTCCTCCCTTCCCAGCCCACGGAATCCAGAAAGAAGCTGCTGGGCTGCTGTGTGACTTCATCAATGCAGTGGATTCCTTTATAAGCACACAGTTCTCATAAGCAGAGAAAGAGAGAACACCATAGATATATATTCCTCTCTTCTCCAAATTTTCTTGTTTTCTTTTCGGTAGCATTCCAATCTTACCACTGTCAAATATGTCCTGTACACCAAGGAGGATTTGTGCTACCTGCCTCAGAATCATACAGGGTGCTTGCAAAAAATACAGGTGTCTGGGCTCCACCCCAGACCTATTACATTATTGCATCAGGATTGTGTGTGTGTGTGTGTGTGTGTGTGTGTGTGCGTGTTGAAAGGTCAGGAACTTGCGTTTTCTTGTCTGCATCCACATGAGGTTTGAGATCTTCTGCTTAATGCTAATACAGCAAGCTATCAAGTTTGCAAATCCGGCCTCACCCCTCTTTAAAACCCATCCATGATTCCCCCTCATCTGAGGTCCCGAATCTCTGCATGACACACAAGTCTTCCCATGAGCTGGCCTCTCCCTTCCTTTCCAGCCTCAGCTCCAGCTTGGATCAAATTACAAATCACAAACAGCACATTATTTTATGTTTGTCATCCTTTGTTGGTTCCTACTCTTGGAGACTCAAGATGCTGTCTACTCATCTTTTCATGACTACCTTAAGCGTCACCTGCTTCTAGAAACCTTCCCTGATAAGTCCTCCTCTATTTTCAGACTAGGCAGCTTGAGTTCCCTTCCCCCATGTTCCCGTAATGTTTATGCCAGTGTTTCTCAATCTGGGTACTTTTGACATTTGAGGCTGGATAATTATTTATTGTGAGGAGCTGTCCTGTTCATTGCAGAATGCTTAGCAGCATCTCTGGCCTATACCCACTCCATGCCAGTAGCAACCCTTTCTCTCCTGCGCAGTTGTGACAACGAAGAATGTCTTCAGACATTGCCAAATCACCCTGGTGTGAAAATGTTCCTGGCTGAAAATACTGCTCTGTGCTTACATGTGTCATAGCCCTCAACAAATAGCGTGGAAAGAAGTTGTTTGCTTGTTTATCTTCTCTAATCTAAAAGACTGAGAGTTTCTCAAGAGTAACGAGTGTACAAAATTAATCTTTGTGTCCCCTGCACTAAAGCACAACATCTAATGCATAGTTAGACATATAATACACATTTCTTGAGCAAAACTTTATTGATAGACTAGACGTCAGAATCCCTAGCCAATCTTGGTTGGCTCTACTGCTTGCAATGTTGTGACTGTGGACAAATAAGTTAACAGCTCCGTGCCTCAGTTTCCCTTATTGGAAAAGAAGGGTAATAGTGTCCACCTTGCTTATTTGGGTCATTATGCAGGTATGGGAAAGCATAAAGTGTAGGAAGAAGCCTGGTTACAGTAACGTGACCTAAAAGTTGCTGCTGTCATGTTTGCCTTCTCTGGATAACATTGAAAGTTCAGGGCCACCCACACAATATCATCCACTTTAACAATAGCTGGAAGATTTCATTAATGCAGAACATTATAAATGTAAGAAATCTTATTGAAAATGGTTGAACCTCCAATATGGAATGAGACCAACATAATTGTTAAAAGAATTCTTTTAACATAATGCTGTACAACACACTATGAATATCCTAAAGATCAAACACTCTCATCCCTATCCGTTATGCCTCCTGCTAAAGACTCAACCAGGCTCAAATAAGCGAGCCTTCTCTGCTACAGACCTGTATGATTTTCTGTCCTTGAGGAACTGCCAATCCCATTCTTTGCACCCTCTTCTGTCCTTGTTCCTTTCTGCTCTGTGCTGGGACAGCCAGCTGCTTCCTTGCTTCCTGACTCTTAATATCAGTTATAGGAAATTAGCAGGTTTTGCATCTATGGGATACCTCTCCTATTATTTATTGCCTTCAAGAAGAGCTTTGTCACTCTCTCATTGTTTCTTTCTCTGTCTCTATCAGTCTATCTGTATCTCTGTTTCTCTCTCTCCTCTCTCTCTCTCTCTCTCGCTTTCTCACTCTCTCTCGCTCTCTCTCTGACTCTTTGTCTCTCTCTCTCTCTCTCTCTCTCTGATTATTTTATGACTTCCTTTTATACTTGGGCCATTCCATCACTGTTGCCTCCGTGCTATCCCAGCACTGTGGTAAGCTGATTTATGTACAGTATCTCTCTCCCTACTTTTACAGAAATAATTAGCTTCCAGATTGTGTTCAGCTAAGAAGGACCCCTGTTGCATGGAAATGTGGACTGTGCTTCTCCCTGCACCAGCATCAACCCCCACCCCCCACCAGCTGCAGCTGGCCAGGCTTTCTTGTTAACCATTTCATGCCTCAAACACTTAGAGTACAAAAGCACTTAAAAACTGTACCATTCTATACAAACGCGTCAAAAAGTCCTAAACACATATACTGATAGTGCAGCAAGGAGACTTGGAAATTATCTAATCTAGTTCTTTCACTTTAGACTTGGGAATATTGAAACCTAAAGAGGTTAAGCGACTTACTCATTACCATTGTCTTTGCGTTTCTAATCATCTCAAAAAGGCAACCTGAATCATTCTGTTATCTTTTTAGTGTATCACAACTAATCTTTTATTTTCCAATCTTTCCTATATCATGGTCCCCTCTTTTAAGCTTAAAATAATAAGTTCCTTTCAGTATAGGCTTTGGAGATGTTTCATCTGAAAGACGTGATAGATGTTGTTTTTAAAACACTGAGTTCTATTTGTTTTTACAGTAGCACGAGGTTTAGAGTAATTAACAAGTTTTTATTTTTTGCATATATTTAGCTATGGGAGAGTATATACCCATTTACTATGGTACATCTATTTATTTATTTAAAATTGTATTGTGCTAAGAACACTTAATATGAGATCTACTTAATTGTTGTTGACTATATCAGAATCGAGTCAGTTTTCTATATTATCCAGTAAAGTATGTTCACTTTGAAAAAATTTTTCAATGTGCATTTTGCTATATTTTTCCTAGAGGCATGGAAATTCTTATTTGAATATTTCCTTTTTAGCTCATTATATTAGTCTGTTCTCATGCTGCTAATAAAGAAATGTCTGAGACTGGGTAATTTATAAAGGAAAGAGGTTTTATTGACTCACAGTTCAGCATGACTGGGGAGGCCTCAGGAAACTTACAATCATGGCAGAAGGGGAAGTAAACATGTCTTTTTTCACACGCAGCATCAAGGAGAAGAATGAATGCCCACCGGAGGGGGAAGCTCCCTATAAAACCATCAGATCTCATGAGAACTAACTCACTATTACGAGAACAGGATGGGGAAAACTGCCCCCTTTGATTCAATTATCACCACCTGGTTCCTCCCATGACATGTGGGGATTATGGGAACCACAATTCAAGATGAACTTTGGGTGGAGACACAGCCAACTCATAGTACTCATTAACCTTAATATATCATTTGCTATCCTTTGAAAAAAAAATCCTTCTCAAGGCTGTGTTAATCTGTTTATAACCTATGATTAAACTTTTCAAAATAAATTTTAAATAGGAGACTGCAGTGTATAAAGTATATGTCAGTGTCTGGCATAAACTAGACACTCAATTATTTTTAGTTCCCTATACCCACTAAAAGAATATGTTTTGACTTTCCCTATAAAATAATGCCAAACATTTCGCGATGTGATAGCCAAACTGAAATTAGGCTTCTATGAGCTTTCAGAAATGTTCTTGGATAAACGAGTGAAAAGGAAATAAAAATAACCTTTAAGTGTTAGGAAACCTTTCAATCCAGCTACACACCAGCTTTACCCACTCACTTCCTTCTCTCTTCTGCGCCCTCTACCGACTACCGACTGCAAGTCCGTATTAAATTAGCAAATTTAACTGTTTTGAACAACAGCAAAAGCAATTTTCCCCAGCCTGTACCTGAAAGTCATTAAAACACAAATTATTGCTTTAAAGAGTCATGATGTCTTTTTTTCTATTTTTAGTGGCACTAGGAAAACCTAGCTATAATGTGAGAAATGAGATAATATAGATAAACCTAAGTAGAAAATAAAAATCACGTCAACTCCACCTTCAACAGAGCTACCAATATTTTTTATATCTTCACTCTATCTTCTCTATATAATATGTACGTTATTGTTCTTACAAAAATAGGATTATGTTGTATATAATTTGTATAAATTTTCTCTTTTTGTATTAACTATCCATGGCAAACTCTTTCCATGTCAATAAATGGATCATCAGAAATGGCTACATCGTGTTCCATTGCAAGGATGTCCCACAATATCTTTGTGGGCACATATTAAGTCTGTTTCCAGCTTTTCTTGTTGCTTTTTAAAAATATTTCCTCTCATGTCTCATCTTCTCCATGAATATATGATAGAAGCTAGGGCCAATAGTGATAATAATTAATTTCGGGGGCTACAAATGGCACGAATCCCAATATACACACTCTTTTGTTAAATACTTCTGCGTCATTCCATTTCCTGTACGGCTTATTCTTTCCTACTAAATTGCATCCAAATATGCAGTATTAGGTGCACATTTAGTATGCACACAATAGTGAACATTTTGTAAAGATTTAAATTTTTTTCTCAATAAAATTCAAGAAGACTTTTCACCTCCAAAAATGAGAGTTGACAGTCATGAAGAAGTTAAAATCTCAATACATAAAAATAAGAAAAAGATAAGAAATAAGGGCTCCTAATCCAAGGGGGATTTAGTCTATGCAAAGTAGAAATTCCAGAGAATATAATGGAACCGAAAGAACACAAGGTGAAAACAATAGAAGAAGAACATTTTCAGCCAAAGAAATATTTAAATTTGATACTTAAAAAGATTAACTGAAAAGAAATGGAAAAAATATCCCCACATTTCTAGGTATATCCAGGCAAAATCCTTGAATATAAAAGACAAAACTTTCTATAAGAATCAAGGCTTTAAAAGCCTCTTGT